CTATCAGATGTGCACATGGTAAAGATCTTCTATTTCAGAGGCTGTCTCTTCACTCTGCTTTCCTGTGTAGTGTAGAAGCTATTTAACTCGTGAATTCCTATTTGTCAAGTGTGGGCACTACTTCCTGAGCAGCTGGAGTTCTACTCAAGACATTTGACTGTGCCTGTATCATGAAGATTTTTTTTCCTAATTTTTCCTCTAGCAGTTTTGGAGTTTGGGGTTCTTACATAAAGATCATTGGTTGATCCATTTCAAACTGACATTTTGTGAGAAATACAGATCTGGTTTCATTTTTCTACAGTTGGATACCCAGTGTTTCCATCACCATATGTTGAAGATGGTGTCTTTGCCATTATTCTTTTTGCTCAGCATTGATTTGACTACTTGGGATCTTTTGGGTTCCAATAGAAATTTTAAGATTTTTTTTTTTAGTAAATAATGATATTGGAATTGTGACGAAAATTGTATAGAATCTGTAGATTGATTTTCAGAAAGAGACCATTTTCACAGTTTCAGTTCCAATCTAGAAGTGTTGTGGTCCTTCCATCTTCTAGTGTCTTCTGCACAATTTTCCTTCAGTGTTTCCAAGTTTTCATTTTAAAAACTGTCTACTTCCTTGGTTAGGTTTATTCTGGGGTAATTTTTGAAGCAGATATAAGTGGGATTGTTTCCCTAATTCCACCCACCCACCCACAGAAGGTTTCTTCACTGGGTATGTTAATTTTGTAACCCTCAGCTTTCTTAAAGTTGCTTATCAGATATAATTTTTCTGTTGGAGATATTACATATAGAACCTTATCTTAAAAATACTTTGACTTCTTATTTTTCTAATCATATCCCTTTTATCTCATCTTACTGTTCTAGCTAAGACTTCAAGCTCTATTGAATAAGAATGGGGAAAGGAGACACCTTTGTCTGTTCCTTTTTGTAGTAGAGATGTTTGAGGTTTTCCCCCATGAAGTATGATTTTGGCTATAGGTTTGTCATAGCTTTTATTGTAATATGTTCCTTTTTTCATAGTCTTCAGGGTTTTTATCATAAAGGATGCTGGGCTTTACCAGATATGGAGACAATCATGTGATTTCTGTTGAGTGCATTTATGTGCTATATTACATTTATGTCACGTATGTTGGAACATCTCTGCACCTCTGGAATGAAGTCATGAGAGTGGTCTGTTTGATGTGTTCTTTAATTATGTTTACAATTATTATTGAGAATGTTTTCATCTATCTTCATCATAAAGACTGGTCTATAATTTTTACTTTTTATGGTATCTTTATTTGGTTTGTGTAATGTTCCTTCCTTCTCTGTTTTGTGCAACAGTTTGAGAAGCATTGGTGCTAGTTCTTTAAAGGTCAGTGGAATTCAGCAGTGAATCCATCTGGGCCTGGACATCTTTTTATTTATATATTTATTTGAGACAGGGTCTCTCTGTGTTATCTTGGCTGTAACTCACTATGTAGACTAAGCAGGCCTCAGACTCACAGAGATCCTCAGGCCTCCTCCTCCTGAGTGCTGGGATTAAAGGTGTGCACCACCATACCAGGCTGGATATCTTGTTAATTTGGGAGATTTATTATCATCATTGTCATCATCATTATTATTCTTCAATCATGTTCTTCATGTTAAACTTTTTACCTTATTTACTGCATCTTGGTTTAATTTTAGTAAGTCATATGCATTTGTAAACACAGCCACTTCTTTTTAAGGTTAGCATATGAAAATATGAACATTCTTACAATACTAACTTCATTGTGTCCCATAGGTTTTAGAATTGTGTTGTTGTTTTCATTCAGTTCTAGGAATTTTAAAGTTCCTTCTTGATCTCATCAATGATCTATTTATCCTGCAATAGTTTGTAGTATTCACTCTATGAGTGAACTTGTGTGGGGGTGTGTGTGTGTGTATCTGTCTGTCTGTGCATGAATACAGGTGGGTATGTGCTGCAGTGTGTGTGGGAGTGGGGTGGCAGAGAACAGCTCTCAGGAACTGGTACTTTCTTATCCCCTTGTGTGATCCAGAAATGAAACTGCGGTTGTCAGACCAGTGTGTAAGTAACCCGTGGACCATCTTGCCAGCCCTCCATGAGTCTTTGTGTGTTCTGTATTTTCTCCTAAATTTCTGGTTATCTACCATTGTGGTTAATTTAATTTTTGTTTTATGTGCATTAGTATTTTTCCATGGGTGTCAAGTCCCCTGGAACTGGAGTTACAGATAGTTATGAGCTGCCATGCACGGTCTTCCTTTAAAAGTTCCAACCTCCTCCTACTTCTCTCTCTGGTGACCGACCATGGTGGTCAGCCATTAACTCTGTCTCTCTTCTATTACTATCTGTCCTTCTCTGTTCTTCTATTTCTCTCTTGCTAGCTCTCTCGTGATATTATAAACTATTGTTAATGTATCTCTATAGTCTCATGTCTCATCTTGCGCCCTCTTTCTTTCTAATTTAAGCAAAAGAGTAACACCATCTGCCCTAAAAAGTTAGTGAACCCAGGTAAAGGTGAGACAGAAGTAGTGTCGTGGGTAGGTATTGGGGTTGTCTTTCTGTGTATATGTTTCTCTTATTGGTTGATGAATAAAACACTGTGTGGCTAGTGGCCAGTCCGGAAGGAGATAGGTGGGGCTACCAGAGGAGGAGAATTCTGTGATGTGTAGGTAGACAGGAGTCATCATGTAGAGCCCAGGAAGAGAGAATGTGGAGGGCATTCTCTGGTAAGATAAAACCACATGGAAATACTTAGATTAATAGAAATGGCTTAATAATTAAGACAGAGCTAGCCAATAAGAAGACCTAGCCACTGGTCAACAGTTTTATAACTAATATAGCACCTGTGCTCATTTGGGGCTCAAGTGCCATGGGATCAGGCCGGGCCAAGAATCACTCATTACAGGTAGGAGTTTGTCTGCTCACAATAAATCGCAGTGTTGAGGGGCTCACTTGAATTGCAAGAGTGCTGCTGACTCTGGTTTGGGATAGTATTACTGGGCTGGGGCAGACATCCCTAAGGAGGCAGGCTTCAAGGAGCATTCTGCAAAAGAAGCTTGCATGTCCTTTACAGTCAGCTGAGCATTCTGAACATAGTGCTCACAAGGAAGGTTGAAGACTGAGCAATCTCCTTCTAGTTCTGAGGCCAGCAGTGAGAGCACACAGGCTCAAAAATCTCATCTGTGGAACTCGGGGAGAGCCTGAAGCCAGGGGAAGCACAAGGCAAGATGTGTTTTGGACAGCAGAGCAAAACAACTACCATAAAACCAAAGTGTTAGGCTCTGCCAAGTCCTACAGCTGTTCCAGAAGCCTCCATAGTGAACAGCGCAGGAACACGGTTTGTTATAGAAAACACTGCTGTGGCACAATTGCTGAGTGTCCCTCACTTACCCTCATATACATCCACAGATGTCCTTGTGTCTTCAGTTTCAGATGGACAAAAGGCACCGAGTATATAACTCATAAAGACTATATAGGATTTGCCTTTCTGTTTTGTTTATTCACTGAGACAAGTACAACTGCTGCGTAGAGATTCAGATACTTCGGTATGGGTTGAGTGCTTTTCTGTGTTCATGAGTGCCTGGGGCCTGACTATTGTGGGAGGCCTATCCGCATTCATTTCTACTAGGAAGTAGCAGAAGGAAGGCAATCTCCTGCTGTCTCCCCCTCTACCATCACAGAAGGGATGCAGTATTTTAAGGGACATGAGTGTTACGCCAGGTTCGCGGAGCCCAGAGACTAACCCAAGGAGTCGACACTGATGCAAAAGCAAAAGGTTTCTTTTGAATTCAAGCTGGCCAGCTAGGATCTCACTGCATGGCGGGCAAATGAGATCCCACCCAGCCAAAAAGAGAAGCTTTTAAAGGGGGCAGACCATAAGGTTGAAGGCCACCAATTACAGAGTTTCCATGGTTACTTAAGGTCATACAAAATACAGAGTTAGGCAGTAACTACATTTTAAGGGAGATACATTTGACTGAGATGAGACAGGGCATGGGCTTGCAGGGTTACAGAGTCACAGGGTCTGTCGATTATCCCCTGGGCTGGGGAATCTTTACAACCAGCAGGGCACCTTTACAACCAGCAATTAGCAAAAGGATGCTAACAGGAGTGATGGATAGTCACCTCTGCTTCTCTGGGAGCAGGGCTCAGGCTCCAGCCATGGTATTCCCAGCCATTAGAAGCCTCCCTTTTTTTTCTTTTTAGAGCCCAAGTTTTTTAAACTTTTATTAATTTGAGTTTTTGGTCCCTCAATGAGTGAAGACAGGAACGGGCATAGCTGCATATTCTGCGGTAGGGACCTCAGGCATGCTTGGTGCCCTCCCACTCAGCAGAGCTTCTCTGATGTTAGGAAATAGCAATCTGGAAGTACCCCTTCCAGTCCTCAGTAGTGTGTTACAAACCCATCCAGGGTTCTGAGGTCTAAGTAGAAGAGATGAGGGAAGTGAAATCCAGGCAATAAGAAAAGCCCAATTTAGAAAACAGCTGCTGCAGAAATGGGCACAGACCCTAAACAAGGAATGAGTTTAACTTGAGCTACAGGGGCTGTCGAGATGGGTAAAGGGGCTTGCCACCAAGCCTGACAACCTGAGTGCATTCCCAGAAACTCTTCATGTGCACCAAGGCATGTTCACATGCATGTACGCATGTGCACCACGCACACACACACAAGTAAGTAAACAAACAGATGCAAAATAATGTTTTTAAAGAATCGAGGCATGGGGAAATCAGGTAAAGGATGTGTTACATATAATTTTTGAGTATTGAGCTATTTGCTCTTCTTTTAAATTTTGTATTTCCTAGTATGCTAAAGAAACCAGTGGCTCTGGCATGGCTGCCATTTCTGAGTATTTCCGCAGTGCTCTCACCCGCATGATGATTAAAATAAATGTACCCTTAAACAATAACATTTCATTCAGCTGGGGTCTGGAAGCACAGGGTGGGGAAGGGAGAGTGTTGTGCCCAGACTGAGGATCCCCAAAAGAACCTGCCAACAAGGAGACAACTCACCGAATGCAAGGACAAAGGTTTCTTTATTGACTGGAGGATACGAGCTGCAGCAAGGATCCCATTCGTTCGGGAACAAATGTAGTACCCACTTTCAACTGAGGGGTGTTTTTATAAGGGAGGGACTGTAAGGCTGGAAGCCCCAAGATTACAAAACTTCTGTGGTTACACAGGACAGGACAATGGTTGTATGCTTCAGGCAAGGTGCAATTAAGCAGGATGCTGCAGAGGAAATGAGTTTGTTAATTATCTCCTGGGCTGGGGACTTCTACAATTGCTCACTATCTGATCCCCTTTGGACTAGAGGAATGCCAACACTGCACAAGGGTGCAATATCTGGTCTAATGCCTTGAGTCCTGTGGACCTTTGTTTAACCTTGTCTGCTGGGCTGCCTTTTGAGAACTTAGAGAAGCTTAAGAGTTTTTCTATGTGGGCTTTGGAGTCTGAGTTTTAGACTTTTATTAATTTTTCCCTTTCAGGAGCACTGAGAGAGGGAAATGGATTAGAATGATGTGGATGAAAAAGACATAATAGTAACTTTAAAATTAAAAAGGGCTGGAGAGATGGCCCAGCAATTAAGAGTACTTGCTGCTATATCAGAGGTCCCAGGGTTCAATTTCCAGCATCCACATGAAGGGACCAGCTCCCCATTTTGGCAGCCATAACAACCGAACACGTGCTTGTCTGACCTTGCCTTAGTCACTAGGAGGTCAGATGCCTGTCTTGTGGCAAGGAACCAATCAGAAGTTAGCTGGTGGTGCTATGCTGTATGGCTCTGGGTGTGCTTTACAGACAAGTGCACAGCAATGACGTGCAGAGCATAGCAACCACCCTGGGAGGGCCTATGGGCCATAACAACCAGTTGACCAATCAATACAGGGCAAACCCTCCAAGCCTGGAGGCACACCAATCCTGAGCCTGTGCGTACCCCTAGACACTCCCCTTACGCTGCCCTATAGGATCTCTATGCAGACGCTTCGAGCTGTCTTTTTAGCCTTCCACCATGGCGGGTGGATGAACGGCCCGAGCTAACATGGGGTTAGCTCATTAAACCACTATAATAAAGCCTCATGCAGTTTGCATCAAGCTTTCGACTCCACCTGGTGATTGGGGTGACTGAGGTCCTGGGCTGAGATCCTGGAGGCTTGAGATGCCGGGGGTCTTACACACATGGCAGGGAACAACTGTTGATAACTCCAGATCTGATTCACTCTTCTGGTCTCTGCAGGCACTACATCCATGTTGTGCACAGACATACATGCAAGCAAAATACCTATACAACATAAAATTAAAACAAAGTTTAAAATTGGCTTTAAACTAATTTTTAGAAGTCTTTAAAAAGTAAAAGTTTCCAGTCATGAAGAACTTGAACCCTATCACAAAAAACTCCATGTGAACTTGTAACCAAAATTGATATTATCATGCATCTCTCAGCTGTTGATGGGGTTTCCATGGACAAGGGTTTGTCAGTCTCTCTCCTCACCAATAGCAGCCTGGTAATCACAGTGGTTGATCTCTGAGACCCAGCCTCATGGAGAGCGATAAATCTCTACACATGCCAGGCACAGATAAACATAATTAAATTGACATCACCATCTCACCTTGGGTAATCTGTTCTAGGTAAATACAGATGCTAGCTGTGAAGTATATCTAAGCAAAGTAGCTCTTGCCTATAATATCAGCAATCTGGACGATTACAAGTATGAGACCAGCCCAGGCTCTATAGTGAGACCCATCTCAGGGGGGAAAGTGGGCTGAAGTTATAGTTTGGTGGCTAAAGCAATTGAGTAAACATAAGGAACTGAGTTCAAATCCTTAGAATCCAAGTGAAAAAGACAGACAAAGTGGTGTATGCATCTTCACTCCCAGTGTGCCTATGGGGAAATGGGAGGCAGAAACAAGGGCCAAAAATATTCTGTGTAACCCCTGACAGAAAATACTCCCACTTGGACAGGATGTTGATATCAAAACTACCAGCATCAAGAGAACACACATTCTCCCTTGTGTTCTGATTATTTTACATGTCCTGTATTTTTATTTATCTATTGCTGTGCACATGAGGCTTAGCTATAGCTTCAGGGGAAAGGGAACTTGAGTCTAAGACCCTAAAATGCATGTGGGCTCCACCCTGACTTTAACTGGCAGAGCATCACAAATGCTTAAGGAATGCACAGGTGGAGAGGGAAGAGGGAAGGGCCTGGATTAATCCAACGTGGCATTGCTAACTGACAATCACACTGACTGCCCTTTTTTGTGACAGAGCCTGACAGTGCCACATCATTTAGCTGCAACGCTACTGAGGTGCTTTAGATGAGAAACAATCAAGGTTCTTGTGGCAACTGACAGAAAGAAGTAACAGAAAATCAACACAAAACATCATGTTGTATGAGGAATCTGCAGAGCCACATGTAGAGAGCACATAACAAGGACCAAAATCTAGAACCACTGATCTTCTAAAGTCCCCAAGGCCTCAACTACTGCACAGAAAACCCTTGTACTATCCTAATGATAGAAAACCCTTTGAGCTTAGACCAAGCTAAAGAAAATGTCACCCTCTGTTTCTGGACTGGAAGGTCCTTTACCAGGATACCACCATCCTCATTGATTTATCATGCTTGTGTCTTAATTAGGTTTCTATTGCTGTGAAGAGACACCATGACCATGGCAACCCTTATAAAGGAAAATGTTTAATTGGAGTGGCTTGCTTACAGTTCTAAGGTTCAGTTCATTATCATGGTGGGGAGCATGGAAGCACGCAGGCAGACATGGTACTGGCCAAGTAGCTGAGAGTGCTGTATCTTGCAGGCAACAGGAAGTGGTCTGAGACACTGGGTGGAATCTTGAGCATATATGAGACCTCAAAGCTCACCTCCACAGTGACACACTTCCTTCAACAAGACCACATCTACTCCATCAAGGCCATTCTTCCTAATAGTGCCATACCCTTTGGGGCCATTTTCTTATAAGGCACCACATCTTGGTTCCTCATTTTTAAAAAAAAAAAAACATTTATTTATTTATTTATTATTTGTTTGTGTGCATGTGCATGCATGATCATGCTACAGCAATGCATGTGGAAATCAGAGCACAACTTGTGGAAGTTAGTTCTCTTCTTCCATCTTGTGAGTACCAAGGATCAAACTTAGATCATTACACTTTGTGGGCAAACGCCTTTACTTGCTTAACCATCTGGTTGGCCCTTTGATCTCTAATTCTTGATGTTATTAGTTACTAAGTGAAAGTCTATCACAGGAGGACCTGCTTGCTGTGCTGCCGGGTCATGTGTCTATGCCCTCACTCTGAGGAAAAACAGAGTTGGCTGTTGTGTTAGAAGTGATTGCCCCACCTGGAAGATGCTAAAATTTTTCATTCTCATTTTCTTTTACTTTACTTTAGTTTATTTATTTATTTATTTTGGAGACAGAGTCTTGGAATATAGCCAAGACAATCCTTGAACTTGCTATTTTCCTGCCTCTTCCGCTCAAGTGCTTGTATTTCAGGTATACACCACTTTACCTTGTATAGACAGGGCTTTTAACTTTGTTTTTATTTATTTGTTAAACACAGGAAGTGTGAGCATGCTTCATACTTACCGGAAGAGTCTGTATAGAGGAAATGACTGGTGTACATTGACAGGGTTAGCAGTTGGAAGGGGGTAAAGTTTTATCCTTGTGCTATTACAGCAAGATACTCCCAGAAAAATCTAGCAGAGAGACCTAACTAGGGCTACCTGCACCTCCCTATGTAAGCAACACACTTAGCACACTGGTAAAATAGAACAGCTTATGCCCTGGTCAACTTCCATACAGGCCTTCATGGAAGAGAAGAAAGAGATGTGGTCTTTCGCTATCTTTGGACTATTGAAATTTGGAGGAAGATAGTGGGCAAGTTGTTAAACTGTGCTCTATAAGATGCTCATAGGCATCCATCCTTAGTCTATACCTACTTGATGGCCATAGGGCACCAACGTCTCCTATCTGGGGCAACAAAACCTTTCTCTAGGCATTGATAAGTGTTTCTTAGGGGACAAAAATCACCCTGGGTAAGAACTACTAGAAACAGAACAGCTGGCCTGTCTCTGGAAGGAGGCTCAGCTTTGTTCTGAGGCAGGGAGCAAGGGACATTCCTTATGTAGAGGCAGACTTTCAGAGGCAGCATCCATCCACATGTGAAACCCAACAAAACCACCCAGAGCATGTCAGGGACTCTTACCCCTATGCTTAGCAACCTTATCCTCTCAGGTAAGTAGACACCACAATTGTTTCTTACATTTCCAGTTTTGATTGCCTGAGATGTCAAAGAAGGAGAGAAGACCACTGACAGGCTTCTTTCCCACTCTTAAGGAGGCTCTTGGGACAGAAAAATGAAGGCTGTCCCAGACAAGTTAGGACAAGCTGATGACCCCTTCAGAGCCCAACAATATTCTAATGCAGTCGGGCTTCCCCCAGACTTGCAGAAATTCCCCCAATATTAATCACTTCATTGCTTATCCCTCAGAACCCTCCTAGAATCTGTTTCATTTAGTTATTATTGTCCCCAAAAGGCTCTGAAGTGAGTCACAACAGACATTAAATTAGTTCAAGGTTATGGGTTATTTCAAGCAGGAAATATGTCTTCTATTTTCTTTTCTATAGTTTTATTTTTATTGACATATAAATTCTATGAATTTATGGAGCACAGTGTGATGTTTTATTATGTAGATACCCTTGCATAAAGTAATGAGATTCAGACCGTCTCTCTGGAGTTTGTACCATAAACCTAAAGAGGAGAGAAAAGATTCCCCAAACTTGACAAACATAAATTTTCCTCTAATTCACTAAGGAGAAATTAATGTCCCTGAACAATATGCCTCTCCTTCATTGAAATTAAAGTCTGAAATAGATTACAGTCCCATGTCCTTGCCATCCTCATTTCCTATTTTGCTCACTTTTCAGCCACCCTTGCTTCATTCTCAAGGAGGCTCAGTTCTCCTTTTCTGCAGCTGTGGTCTGGAACATCTTCCAGTAGGATGGGTGGAGTGGCCACAAACACTTCTAAAATTGGACTAATTCAAACCCACTCGTCTGATGTTTTGAAGTTGCTAAGGTCAGCAGGACGTGGCAGAGCTTCGGTGGATTGGGCTATACACACACATGACCGTTTGCTTCTGGTTTCTCTGGATCCCAGCAGATGGTACAATCCACACTGCTTCACTGTTGTTAGTCAAAGAGCCTAGCAGAAACACTTTTCTTGGAAAGGTGGGTAGACAAGGCAAATGGGACAGAGACATGCTTTGTATTCTACATTGCTTTCTATTGCTGTGATAAACACCATGACCAAAGCAACTAGGGGAGGAAGGGTTTATTCCATCTTACACTTCCATGTCACGCTCCATCTCACTGAGGGAGGTCAGGGCAGGAGCTCAGGGCAGGAACTGAAGCAGAGTTCACAGAGGAGCTCTGCTTACTGGCTTGCTCAGCTTTCTCTCTTAAATTGCTCAGGATCACTTGCCTAGGAATGACATCACTCCCAGTGGGCTGGACCCTCCGACATCAATCACCCAACAAGAAAATGATCCACAGACTTGCCTAAAGGCCAATCTGAAGAAGGTACTTTCTCAACTGAGGTCCCCTCTTCCTAGATTACTCTTGCTTGTGTCAAGTAGACAAAAACCAATCAACACAACGTATTTCACCTTCTAGGTGTACTGACTATAAGAAACGCACCTGTGGTGGCACACAGCTTTAATCTCAGGACTCGGGAGGCAGAGGCAGGCAGATCTCTGTGATTTCAAGGCCAGCCTGGTCTACAGAGCAAGTTGCAGAACAGCCAGAACTGTTACACAGAGAAACCATGTCTTAAAAAACCAAAATTAAAAAAAAAAATGAAAGAAACGTACTGTTCTGGGAAATGGTCAAAATCCTGTAATGTGAACTCTTCCTACCAGCCTGGTCCCATAGCCATGTCAACCCCAAATGAACACACAAGACTTATACTAATTATAAAGCTATTGGCCATTGGCTAAGGTTTCTTATTTGCTAGCTCAGTCATAATTTTTCACCCATTTTCTAATTATCCATGTATTTCCACATGGTCTTATCTAACCGGAGAAAGGTCCAGGGACCTCTTACTCCTTTGGCGTCCTACATCTTGATTGTTTAGCGTTTCGACAGTAAAGAGAGATGGAGAGCGATTTCTCATTTGTTTCTGCTTATATTCTGATTCTACCCAGCTATGTCACTTCCTGCCTGGCCAATCAGCCAATCAGTGTTTTAGTCTTTAACCAATAAGAGA